ACCGTGATCATAATTTGTACCGTTAAGGTAGGTTTGTTGTTTTTTTCTCGCCTTACATTATTTAGGACTTCGAATTTCGTCTAATGGTTTGGATTGTTCGTACTTGGCTTTATTTTATTAGACAGCTTACCGTTGTTTTGAATGCTCTAAAAGTATTATTTAAAACACTTTGAAACATTTTTAAATGTATTGTCTGATAAATTTATTACAACGCGTAACTTGGTAAGAGGGTCACTGTGGCTAAGTGGGTAAGACGCTGGCTCGCTAGCCTGGAGGTCGGTTGTTCGATCCCTGCATTGGCCGAGAAAGTTCATCCAGATTTACCGGTGAAAAAAACGAGGTCCCGTCTATATATTTGCATGCACGTTAAAGATCCCTTGACAGTGGGAATTCGATATAAGATATAAGAGTAGGTCGTAGTGCTGCTGTCCGGGCAAAATTTCCCTCATAGCACACTGTATGGCGTATGCCCGTCTTCATTAGTCCAGTTCGGAACAGAACAGTAGGACGTTAAACCCATTTCATTTTATTTGTTACTTGGTAAATGAAAAGTCAGATTATTTAAGCCCACACTGAATGATTACATCCGCTTAAAGGAGTTAAACTTCGAAAAGGTAATGTAATTGAATGTAAACTGATTAACAGTCATTTTTTAAACTTTTCTAATCAATTTGTTTTACAGAAGTATTGCGAAAGATTTCTTTTAACTCTGTGTAAGATGGCTGGCATTTATAAAGTTCACATGCATTCAATGTGTGACGTCACATTACACGGTGTCCATCAATGGCATCGATAGCACGTTTACATAAAACATAGTAATGTAAACTGGTCCGAGTACAATGGTGTCTTTTACCAATTTTATGCACCCATTTATAAAGTTCACATGCATTGAATGTGTGACGTCACATCACACGGTGTCCATCAATGGCATCGATAGCACGTTTACATAAGACATAGTATTGCAGACCTACCCTTCCCATCACCTGCAAGGGTGTGGTAAAGTTGGTAGATTAAACCTGCTTAGTTCGGGGAAATAGATTTCTTGATTTATAACACCAGATAGGTTTCAAATAAGTTTATATATTCCACAAATAACACATGTTACAGTTAAAACAATTAAATAAAACGCGTAGTCGATGCTGGTTACTCTACATGTATATCAAAACCATGACCATGACCGTTAAACACCAGTTCTGTTGATATTACACATAACTAGAACATATAATATATTTATGTTTGGCAAGTGATGGCCCTGAAAATATAATAATTGCCATTATACAATACGTAACCAATAATTCTATTGGCTATACAATCCTATTAAAAGAAAGTTAAACTAAGTAGCTTACCCATTTGTGGAAAAGAGCCGGTGTTGACCTTCACTATTCTGTAACATGTGGTAATGATGCATGCATGTAATTTAGTTTTATCCCAGCTACACTTCCGAATAACCAACCAGGACAAAGAATTACAAATCACCTGATAAACAACTTTTCAGACAGAGACCACCATCATAACTGAAAGACTCCAACGAGTTATCCTTCAACTACCCAAAAAATATTAAAACTAAACCCACATAAGAAATAAGACATTTCAACCACTAAAATAAAATAAACCATAATCCAGACAATATAATTCCAGACCCTTACAATAGAAAATCCACCACCAGAAACATCTTCACTAATTTATATTAGCCCAAAACCAAAACTATAAACTCACAAATTCAAAACTATACCAATATTAAAGAAACTGGTCCGAGTAGAATGGTGTCTTTTACCAATTTTATGCACCCATTTACACCAAATAATAATTATTTTTCATCCAGACATACTTCAAACAACTTTATTTATTTATTTTTCAAAATGTTTTAAGATTAAATTTGCAGAGAAGGCAAACAGTTAATATTGTGACCCAAATAAAATTGTGCCCCGTCCAGAAATCCATAATTCATGTATTATTATAAACCAACATGAATCAGGGGGGTTGGATGGTCGAATGGTTAGCACGCGCGCGCTGTATCTTACGGTCTGTCATTGAGTCAACTGGCGGGGTGTCGATTCCCTGGTTGTACGTGACAAGGAGTAGGGTCGCCTGCCCAACCTCGTGGGTTTTCTCCGGGTCCTCCGGTTTCCTCCCACTGCTAAAGACCCCTACGCGCAAACGAATGATTGAAATAAAATTGAACCATGTGTTAGTCCCGAAATGATCTAGTTTGTGTCGAGTGGACGTTAATCCTCATTTCTCTCTCTCTCTCTCTCTCCAACATGAATCAGGACAACGAATTAGGAATTATTAAAAGAACAAAGATATGGTCCATGAAGAGAGCAATTTTACAAGAATAAGGCTTGTCTGAATGACAGAGACTGCGAAATATATGGACACAGTACATTACTAATTGGTTGAGAAGTTATTGATAGTCTTCTCCCCCCTTTGCATGGTGATTTTTTTTGACATTTCGGTGTAGAATCGAAGAAACGGGTTTGGAATATAGATTTTCCTGCAGGTTTTAGTGAATATTCGTGATTTTGAGGCGGAAGGATAAAAGAGTTAAGAGGCTGGTTACGTCCATAAAAAAATTGCCCAAGGTAGATTGCGGTGGATTTTTTCTTGGGGTACTATCATTTGTTTCGAATGTATCCCCAATGTCTCCTACCAGCCTACTGTGGTAGACAGCATTCAATACCAACGCCGGTCAAAGACACAAGAATTAACATTAGAGTCAATGGGGAATTTAATGGCGTATTGTGTCCATATTTTTGATTGACCAGACTCGTATATTCAAAAATAAAATTCCTTTGTAAGATTCATTAGTGTCTATTTATTTTATATTATGTATTTGTTCTTTATTATTTGTAAGACGAAGAATGTAGAATATAAAACATTAAATATATTATGTATAGTATTCAGGTAATAAAGGTCTTACAAATTATTGTAATTATTGATGGACAGAAATGGGTGTATTACCCTCACGGTTACAGAGTAACGGATTGGATTTAATAGAGTGGCAAAAGACCCCTCATTGACAATTCGATGAAAACCAATAAATAATATTTATTTATATCTGTGACTAATAAAATAAAATTGGATTATACTGATAATGAAATAAATACGGGTTAAAGCACAAAAGGCACAGAAACGATTAAAGAGTAAATTACTAAACTATTGGCAAGTTCAATATTCGTTTTTAATCAATTTCATGTCCTTATAAATTAGAGTGTGGGTCAGTTCAGCAATTAACTAAATCTGCTGTTTGTTGTACAGTCAACCTACCATAGTAAAGTGATTGGTTTCGAATCCATTAAATAATCTGGGCCTGTTTCACGAAATTTTAACTAAAGATAAAATTCAAATTTTAGTAGATACTTCAATTTTGATTGGCTAAAATCAATCTAATATTATCCAATCAAATTACTAAAATTTGGATTTTATCTTAGTTAAAATTTGGTGAAACAGGCCCCTGCTACGTCAACCACGGCTGTTTTTTTTTACAATCTTACAATGCACATACTATCTATACCCAAAATGATTTTGATTCTTGCAGCGAAGAAACTTTTTGTTTCACTTGATTGGCAGCAGAAGCAGAGCTTTATCAACCTACAAAATTCTACGCGTAGAATTAACCTTTTGGTGTTTCCAAAACCCCAAACGGTTAGATTTAAAAAATTCGCCTAGCCATTCCCGTACCGTCTCAAGCCATTCTGCTAAAGCTAAACGGTACTGGTTTCAGGATCATCAAGGTTCTTAGGACACAATTCCCACAGAATCATCATAGGACTGTAGCTATACTAAAAGGCAAAAAAATAAAATAAAATAAAAACAAAAATAAAAACAAAAACAGAAAACGTCAGTACGATTTCAAAATCAGAGAGGCACTTTAATCAAATGATTTTAGAAAACGACTTACAAAAAGGATCAAAGCAATGTTTTGTGAACAGTATATTGACACATTAGTGAATTAAAATTCATCACAATTTCAAGACATTACGAGAAGGTTTAGAGTCTGGACACAGTCTATACATCAGTATCTGGTGTGTCCACCGCGACTGTCAACAACAGCAGCGCAGCGTCTGTACATGGAGTGAACCATACGATTGATGAACGCCATTAGCCCCTAGAACCACACCCTCAGAAAAGCCTGGTACAATCCAACCAGGTATGGGTGTACATTTTATAGGGCTGGTCCCGGTGAACAACACGTTCAGCATGAGTTACACAATAATCATGGAGAACACATTAGCATCTCAGAAGTCAGGTTGCGTTTTTGAGAACATTTCCTGCTGGGTTCAATTCTGTGTTTGGGAAGGAGTCGTATTGCTCAGGTAAAGTTGGAGATGTGGTCACAAATATACAATAAAAACATTTGGCAAGTTTTATTCGGAGTAACATACCAACCTTATGTTTCTTTTGCTGCTTAGTATATTAAAATATATATAAAGCATCAGTTTAGAAGTTTACAGTAATGACGACTTGCATAAATTAATGACAAACATTTTTATTATTAGTACTAAATGTTTTCGACTGTATAAGTTTCACAGTGTTGCTATAAAGATATGGGTATTATTGAATTAAATTGTTAGCAAAATGAGAATTGCCATATGTTTATCGCAGAGACGAATTCATAGATGACTGATCAAGCAAGAAGTTTACGTTCATCAAATAGTAAATCAATTAGTTTGTACCGTAAGCTCATCCAAACGAGTAGAATAAAATATTAACAAATACAGTATTTTCGACTTGATTATCAAATTTTATTCATATGATATATATCTATGAAACGCCTCAATGTTTTGTTTGTTTGATAATTTATTTACATGCCAGTTGTTGAGCGCTCTTGTGGGAAATTATTGTTATTTTATTTTATTTTTAAAGTGTTTATATTTAATTACCCTGTTGATATTCCTGGCATTTTAATATTAATTATTGTCAACAGATGTCACAGAAATTAACATAATATTATATTAACAAAAACAGAAAAACAATAACGTCTTTATCGCAGAATAAATTTCAGGCTTTGGTGCCCTCAAGTTCACTATATAAAAAGTAATTTTTTTAACTAAGAGTATTGTTTGCGACTATCAGCATCATCGTGTTCATAATTTGTTCAATAAAGGTATGTATTGAAGCACATTTTAGAAAATCTTAAGATATTTGTTTAAATGCCTTAAATACAGTATTTGAACATTTAGAAACAATTTGAGATACCGTTTATTCATTTCTTTTGTATGTTAATAATGCTGAAGCTATTACGATATTGATGTCAAGTATTGTCTTGTCATGAATGGCTATAGGTTCATTACCTTTCTATTAAGTCGCTTCGATGTTCATTTCCGCATAATAACCGGTTTATTGTTTTTTTTTACTTTGATCTATTTTCTGTTGGTTAAAAGTAAACACGATATAAATTTAAAGTGTATTAATTTACTCGAATTGATAGATATATGTTGTATTCCCAGGACGTGGTACGACTTGGGACATATAAATGTATCAACAGGATGTCGAATTGTAATACCCCTAATAGTTTTCATCCGATATAATATTGTATCTCCAGATTTCGTGAGACCATGTATATGGGTATAGACGTATGCTTAAAATGAACTTCGAAATGTCTTCCATAAACATGTGAACGCGATAGTCGCGGGGCAATCTGGACAATCGACTAGCATGTTCTGACTTCGATTCCTGACATGGACCTATAACCTAAGGATTGGTGAGGCGAAGGAGCGAGTTCAAGGAAGCCTCATTATAGAGATTTATTGAAAAAGGCTCGTTCATTGAGATTGGTACGTACTCGATCATGTTGCCAATCAGATCCTGCGATATTTTCTGGGGTTACGAACCCAAAACATGGAACGAAAATAATATTGATTAGATTGTCCTATCTTCTTGTACCATATATCGGGGGGATGCTGACGTGTTGATCTCTCGTTCTAGATCATGGCGTCTCTTATCCACATAACTTTACTCATAAGTGTAGCTTTGTCTTTAAATTACATTAATTACAAACTATTCCAAACCCATCGACTAAGTTTATAGACTTACGGGCTATTGAGAGTAAGGCGATCTTTCGAACCTTGTGAGAGTTGTTCACATGATTCGAGCTCTTCACACCTTTGAATTAGATATATTTGTTAGTTCCGACATGATCTCTTTCACAGACACATTTTAACACATTTGAGTATATATGTATTCTAATTAATATCATTCACAGCATGGCTGGGGTAAAGACTCTGTTGGTTGGATTGTTGGCTCTATGTTTGGTTAATTCGTGCTTTTGGTAAGTTTAGATAAATGATAATTTTCAACTAGGAATATATAGAAAAGATCAAGATATTGACTATAGCTTAACCCGAGTTGATCATACCATGGGTCGCATGGTGGCTGATAATGACCATTGTTATGTTCGCCATCGACGCCAAAAATGGCACAATTGCGTCATTGGTGTATTCGGATGTACGTAGTAATTAACAAATATAAAACGAAAACATTTAGACTCGTATTTTTTAGACATCAACAATATAAATAAGTTGAAGATTACTATACGTTAACAGTTATATATAATATAAATAGGTCGAAGATTACTAGATGTTAACAGTTATATATAATATAAATAAATTGAAGATGTTAACAGTTATAATATAACTAGGTTGAAGATTACTAACTGTTTAATATAATATAATATAATATAATATAATATAATATAATATAATATAATATAATATAATATAATATAATATAATATAAATAAGTTGAAGATTACTAGATGTTAATTGTTATATATAATATAAATAAGTTGAAGATTACTAGATATTAATTGTTATATATAATATAAATAAGTTGAAGATTACTAGATGTTAATTGTTATATATAATATAAATAAGTTGAAGATTACTAGATATTAATTGTTATATATAATATAAATAAGTTGAAGATTACTAGATATTAATTGTTATATATAAATAGGTTGAAAATGTGAACTGTTTTATATTTTAGCAGTGGTTGGGACAGTTATATAGATAATCTCATAGCTCAGAGTAAGGATGCCACTGGTGTTGCACATGTCGATAAAGCTTCAATATTTGGTTTGGATGCATCCAGATGGACATCAACGAGTGGGGATAAGGTAAGAGACCAGTTTACATGTGTATCTTAGTAATACTGACTATACAGATGGTCGTCATTAGCCTATCAGATAATACCGGTGTCGCTATGTTACTCTATACCTGTTCTGACTAGATTCCTTGCGCACGGGAATCAACTTAAACGGTTATAACTTTACGGTAAGTGAATGAAAACAAATGGAATTTAACGTCCTACTGTTATGCACCGACTGGGCTAATGAAGACGGCGGCGCTACGACGGACTCTTATTCTTAATTCCAGATTTGTTTCCGTGCACGCCGAGGTTTACACGGGAAATCGGTTTTATTCCTCCGATCAGAACGACTAGACGCTGTCCTTGACAGGCATCACTGACAAGGCGTGACCACGCGGAAAAATACAAAAATCCCGGGGAACTTGCACGCATACCACCAAGATTGAAATGAAATGAAGACGGACACACGTCATACAGTGTGCTATGAGGGAAATTTTGCCCAGGCAGTGGCACTATCGCCTACTCTTATATCGAATCCAACTGCCAGGGGATCTTTTACGTGCATTCCAATATATACGCGGGACCTCGGTTTTTGCCCGGGCAGCGGCACTATCGCCTACTCTTATATCGAAGTCCAACTGCCAAGGGATCTTTTACGTGCATGCCAATATATACACGGGACCTCGGTCTTTCGTCTCATCCGAAGGACAAGACGGCTGTCCTTGTCAGGCCCTTCGTCCTGCATCACTGACAAGGGGGAACCACGTCGGAAAATCGAGATGAACTTTCTCGGCCAATGCAGGGATCGAACACCCGACCTCCAGGCTAGCGAGGCAAAATTTCCCTCATAGCACACTATGGCGTATGCCCGTCTTCATTAGCCCAGTATAGAAGCAGAACAGCAGGCCGTTAAACCCCATTTCATTTCATTTTATTTGTACAATATTACCCACTGAGTATTGTTTTATATAACATGTTGTAAATTTATTTATACTTATAATATTTAAACTTATGAAAGATGATCATTATCAATTAGTATGCGACATACTTTTATCAATTAGAGATCCAAGGTTGCTCATTGGGTAAGACGTTGAATCGCTAACCTGGGTTTCCCGTGTTCGATCCCTGCGTTGGCCAAGAAAGTTCATCGGGATATTCCGGCGTAGTTCCTTCGTGTCAGTGGTGCCTGGCAAGGGACAGCGTAGGTCTCGTGTATACATTCGCTGACAGTTGTAATTCGATATAAGAGCCGTAGCGCCGCTGCCATGCAAAATTTCTCTTATAGCACAGTAGGATGTTAAACCTCATATTCATTATCACGTTGTATACAATATACTCATTGCTTGATAATGACTAGAGAAGCCTAGTGGAAACGTCACTGAGTAATAATCAGTAATTGTATTCCATAGAACTGTGACCTGTATATCCCAGTTCAATTACTAAATGCCAATTAGTTACAATTCGTTATATCAAGTCATACCCTTAATATCAAATCTTATGTAAGATAATCGTAACATCAAGTCATATGTAAGATAATCGTAATATCAAGTCATATGTAAGATAATCGTAATATCAAGTCATATGTAAGATAATCGTAATACATTTTCAAATGTACATTATTCGCCTATTTCTAAAATGCAAATCCATTCCATAGACAGCTGTAACACAACTACGGTAATCATATTTTCATGTATACATTGATTATTTATTTCTAAAATGTAAATACATGTATCTATATCTGACAGGGAGAGGGGTTTAATATAGGCTATGCCTGTTCCCCAATCCCTATTCAGATACAAATCTGAATAAAAATATTGCTTAAAAAAAAAATCGTAATATCAAGTCATATGTAAGATAATCGTAATATCAAGTTTTGTAATATCACGTTTTATGCAAGATAATCGTAATTTCACGTATTATACAAAATAATCGTAATTTCACGTATTATGCAATATAATCGTAATATCACGTATTATGTCAGATAATCGTAATATCACGTATTGTGTGAGATAATCGTAATATCACGTTTTATGCAAGATAATCGAAATATCAAGTATTGTGTAAGATAATTGTAATATCAAGTTTTATGTAAGATAATCGTAATATAACGTATTATGCGAGATAATCGTAATATCACGTATTATGCGAGATACTCATGTTGTATGTGATATACTCATAAACCCAAACTCATATCGGGTCTTAACTTAATTTACATATTATAACCTGGAATTTAGAAACATTAATTGGTCTTCTATGAAAGCAAGTAACAAAACAAACAAGTGTAAAATGATTGTTGTGTATATTTGTCCAGAATTGTCCCCATGTATGTAATATGTAATCTGAGCTGTACGTATTTGTCAAGTAACAAAGCTTATTGTTGTCTATTCAGATGTTGGAATTGTCTTCAACGGAAGTAAATACAATTACAACTGTCTTTAAATCTGGAGATTTCAACACTTTTATGTCAAACGGTGTATATGTTAGTGGTGTGAAATACCAGTTTTTGAGACAGGTAGATGGTATAGAGGTAAGTAATGTTAATACATACTTAAATATTGTGGTATATTCGCTTATCGTAGTGTGTTATATACTTTAATTAACACTATCATACCAATTTAAATAGTGTGTTATATTCTCTAATTAATATTATCATATCAATTTAAATAGTGTGCTATAAATATCTAGTTAATATTTTTTACCAGTTCAACATAGATGCACAAATCATACCAATTTAATATTTTTTTACCAGTTCAACATAGATGCACAAATCATACCAATTTAATATTTTTTACCAGTTCAACATAGATGCACAAATCATACCAATTTAATATTTTGTACCAGTTCAACATAGATGCACAAATCATACCAATTTAATATTTTTTACCAGTTTAACATAGATGCACAAATCATACCAATTTAAATACCAATTTAATATTTTTTACCAGTTCAACATAGATGCACAAATCATACCAATTTAATATTTTTTACCAGTTTAACATAGATGCACAAATCGTGTGTGAAAGAGAGTGAGAGAAATGAGATTAATGTCCTCCCTAAAATAGGTCTTTTCAGGACTAATGTATTAGCAGCAGATTTAATGTTCATTTATTACTAACGACAGCCATATTCAGTCTACACGGAGAGAGAGAGAGAGAGAGAGAGAGAATTGGTTTTTAACGTCACAAACTAGGTCATTTCGGAACTAACATATGGTTGAATTTTATTCAATAATTCGCTTGCGCGTAGGGGTTTTTAGCAGTGGGAGGAAACCGGAGGATTCGGAGAAAACCCACGATTTTGTCACATACAACCGGGGAATCGAAACTACGCCAGTTGACTCAATGACAGGCCTTATGATACAGCGCGCACGTGCTAACCATTCGGCCATCCAACTCCTTTAAGAACAGGTTTCATTAGTTCCGCTGATGATTCATGTAAGCTAATATACATATAACATTATTTAATACTTTATAGGTTTACGCTAAGAAGAAAGGCAATGGTGGCATTGTAATGATGAAGTCAAAAACAGGTAAAACATTTCCTATAAGATACATCCCCATCAAAAGTATATATGGCAATTGTCGTATAGGGACACCCAATCTTGCTAGAAAACTGCTGAATTCCATGGGGCGAACACAGGACGAAAAATCCCTAAATGACAACCTGTCTTTTCCAGTGACGTAATCAGCGCGTCTATATTGTTGATCTAGGGCGAACTGTCATGAGAATAAAATTCCGGTAGCCGACACGATTAAACGACAGAGACTTTCAAAGTAATGATTCGTTGGGAATGATCGCGGAAAGAGTTAACTTTAATTGACACGTTAATTGAATATTGTTTGTAAACTTTGTCCAGCGGTGATTAAAATCTAGCCATAACCAGCACATATATTGCTCGCTGACACTCTACCAGGGCATGAGTTTTAGACGAATTTATCCAGACACATGTAGTCAAAACATCGGCAATACTATATACCTGAAAACACCGGAAAACAACCGGAAAACAACCGGAAAACACCATTTTATACTGAATACCGGAAAACACCGGAAAAACACTAAATAACGGAAAACACCCTAAATACCGGAAAACACCCTAAATAGGTAACCCGAAGCCTGCTCCTCTGTGTGCGCCGATGAATGAAGGTCAAGGTCATTACGATGTTCGTTTTACAAATAGCCCCCCCCCCCCAAAAAAAAGAAAATTCCGTCACAAAAAAAAATTCGAATTTTTCCGAAAAATTGGTTTTACAAAAAAACATTCCGTAGAAAATAATTTTACAGAGAAAAATACTGGAAAAAAAAATTGAATTGTTTTTTGAGAGAAATTTGGGTGAAGAAATTGTTAAAAAAAAATCTGAAAAGAAATTTTTCTTTGACCGTAGGCGATCGCTCGCTTGTAGTTTAATGAACTTATTTCATCAGCGCTCACCTGGTCTAAAACCAGACACGAGGACCAAACTCCGGGTTACTAAATAGCTACCGGAAAACTTAGAAGAGTAAACTGTGCCCGAGATTGTTTTAGAGAGCGCGCCGCGCCGCGCCGCTCCGCTCCGGATCATCGTCAGGGTGGGACGGGGGTGGAATTGTCCAGTCACGTGACGAACATAGATCTTCCGTTCCTCAACCCATATTATTTCCACAGTCATTGTCATTAATCACAAATTACGGGATGATATACGAAAATGCAGGTTTACTTTGAAATAGTGCAAATGATACTTTTCCATCTACAATCTTCAGATCAAAGGATGCAAGTTCTTACACAGTGCAGCATAATTTGTGCAACAGAAGACATCTCGAATATCGATTGTCTGAAAAACATTTTCACGGGGACATTTTTTTCCGAATACGCATTCGGTGTAAGTCTTCAGCCACCAGGAAGTGGTTAACATAGTAATGTTTTATTACGATAGTAGTACATAAAACAAATTGGTTGCCTGAGGTTCTCGGGGGGGGGGGGGGTAGTCTCATCGGCTAGAGTCCTCTATTTCACAAACAAAAACAACAATTGCTTCCTTGAAAATTTATCGATCAACCCTTTTCACAGACGTCCAGCTTACCACTTCCCGTCAATGCAGTAAGATAGAATATATAGTTTTCTCATGGACAATTGGGCGAAAGTTGGGGTTTTCTCAAGGAAAACTGGTCAACAAGTTGGAGAAAAAAGCTCGAAAAGTAATCCAGAAAAAAATCCTGTGTGCGGCCCTCGGAATATGGAATATGTTGAATATTATTATGGTTCAAGTGATTATATTTGACCCTGGAATGAAAGTAAGCTCAGAAACAAGTAGATTTTTAGCCCTTCCAACGAGATGATTATCTCTTGTAAAGGATAGACACTTTTCAGATTACAGCCTTTCCGAGAATTGCGTGGCATCCATTTCGTTTGGTGATTAGGACACATAGCGGTTAAACCTGGAACTTCAACTCGAACTATTCAGAGATTTATTAACTCGCTTTTGATGATACTTGCTGTTTTATGATGCGATTTTTTGTTACCTAGGGAGGAGTTGGCGTAGTCGTGCCTTCCACTAATTCGTACCACTCTGATGCCAGCGTTACTGGTAAGAATCAGGAGACCGGCGCAACCGGCATATAATGGGGCCCTCCGAGGGCAGTGTTTAATCTATTGAAATATTGAAACACTGAAATCTACGGAAGCCTCCTGGTGCCACGAATTTTTTTTTTAAGCGTAATTGTGACTTTTTATCTCCTAATTAGGACTTTTTATCTCCTAATTAGGACTTTTTATCTCCTAATTAGGACTTTTTATCACCTAATTAGGACTTTTTATCTCCTACTTAGGACTTTAAATCTCATAATTAGGTTTTTATTATCTCCTAATTAGGACTTTTTATCTTCTAATTAGGACTTTTTATCTCCTAATTAGGACTTTTTATCTCCTAATTAGGACTTTCTATTCATCACAAAAAGGCCTAGAGGAAATTGAAAGAAGCATTTCCAGCAAGACGATCGGCAGCGATGCATCATGGTTGATCTTGATAAGGTAAACTATTACGATCGAAGTACTTAAACCTTAACCACGTCCATCCTATTGGGATATAAATATTTACACCCACATTACAACCACTGTATTGATAGTATAGTTGCATTCAACATCCGGACACTAGTACTGAGAATCTATCTTTCTTTTCCTGTGCTTGATGGAATGTTTTATGCAATCACATTTGACAAGACAAGTACATCTTCATTTGCTCTCGCTCACATACAAGACTTCGTCGTCGCTATTAGGCAGATTTTGAAGATTATTGACTGTAAACGGTTTTTTAAACGATTTTGTTACTTTATCCATGTTATGAATGTATTGTAGTAGAATTGGTTAAATATTTGCAATTTTTGCAGTTGAAATAAGAAGATATTGAGAATAATTTAGTGGTTATCTTCATGCATACGCTGTACTATGATAGTTTATGACACATATAAAGTTTCCTTTACTCCACGTTATCATTCTGTCTTAATGTAACCTTGTGGAGTTTTTGTTTTTAGCCGATAATCCAATAAACAATGATATTAAACGATTCGAAGTCTGGGATATTGTTATATAGTGTTAGAACCGTGCTACCGTATATTAGTATGAACAACACGGAGTGAGCTCCCTTGGGCGAGTTGTAGGAGAATGTCGGTACATTGGCAACTTGCCAACTCGGTAAGGAAACAATGCTGGGCCACTGTAATTGTACAATTGAGTTATAAATGTCGTCTTCCAAGGAAATGTAATCAAGTTTTAATAAATTTGTCATCACTTGTTCTTAATTATCGACAAATTTATTAAAACTTGATTAATTTTCTTTGAAGGACAACATTTATTAACTCAATTGTTTTTTCCTAAGGGGGTTTCCAAGAAAGGACCACTGAACTTATTCAATTTTAAACTCCTGGATTTCAAAGAAACTGAACTACCCAATGATGTAACAGTGCATGAGTGTTATGAGCTTTTCGAATCTGGTATAGTTACGTTTTACTTACACACGAATGATGTAGAAGAATCATCCGAAGTAACCGAACAAGAACGACCACCGTCTACATCAGCGACAGAGCCACCATCTACATCTACAAAATCAAGTTCATCGTCGACCACGACAAATCGTCCATTATCGTTTACATCAAAAACGGCATCACCTCTAAGCATTTCGTCAAAGCCACTATCTCCTGCTGTATTACAAATTCCACCATCAGCAACAACGACATCGATCTGGATAACAAACACACCACCAACTGTAGAACAAACAGGAATCGACACATTGCAACAAGCAGTATGTGAGTCGGGATTTGACAGTGACGATTTCACCCTTCCGGATTTAGAAGATAATGAGATAATTTTCAATTTCAACACCCTTGCAAGTAATTCATCACTGGACACTTCATCTCCCAAATAGTACCGTGAAATAATAATCCACAGAGGAACTAAGGGATTTAGAGAGTTACTTTCAACCTTTAAAGACCCCGAGATTTTACAGTATAAAGACCTACAAATAACGAGAATTTTGCCTAGCGGCCAAAGGGAACTTGCTGCAGATGCTGGTGGTGTTATGAAAGACACCTTCACTGAATTCTGGAGCGACTTTGTCGATGTTTGTGCTGTTGGGCGTCAAGTTAAAGTCCCATCTCTCAGACATGATTTTTGAGCTGAAGAGTGGAAAGCCATTGGAAGAATATTACACTTTGGATTTGTTCGATTGGGGTATTGGCCATTGAAGTTATCCAAGGTGTTTCTTAAAACCTGTTTGTTTCCTGACGAACAAGTCTCCAGTGACAGCTTACTGGAAGATTTTTTTGGCTATATTTCAGAACCAGACAGGGATGTCTTTATAAAATCGAAATCAAATTTCCAAGATGTTGATTTTGATGATTTGACAGAATCATTGGATGCACATGAGTGCAGAACATTGGTAACTGCTGACAATATTTCAAGCGTGTTAATTGAAATTGCGCACAAGGAACTAATCCAGGCACCAATGTATATTTGTGATTGTTGGCGTGATGTGATGAAAGGTACATACATAACCTTCTCAAAATTAAATGATATTTATAAAAGTATGACTCCAACTAACAAATCAGTTGTCGAAAAACTAGTGTTTCCGGAGCATTTAGATAGTAGGGGGCACGATGTTTGTCGTTATCTCAAAAGGTATGTCAAGGAACTTGATAACAGCACACTCAGACTATTTCTTCGCTATTGTACTGGTTCCGATATGTTGAACATGGATAGCATTCATGTTGAGATGAGTCCAATGCCACATTTTCAGCGACGACCGATTAGCCATACATGTGGATGCTTGTTGCAGCTTGCTGATCAATATGACAACTTCATGGAGTTTAGAAAGGAATTTGATGGTGTGTTGCATAGCCAAATCTGGGTGATGGATTTTGTTTGAAGACTTCAAACTCGTAGCTCACAGTTTAGATCCGTAGATAGACATAGTTTCGTAATAAGTATAGTAGTTCACGTATTCAGAATCCTGTATTTCCACAGCGTCCTGACACCGGTTTCCAGAAACAATATTGACTTTGAAATATCCCATTCTATTATCAGACAACATGTAGTTTGACTCCAATACGTTGTCATCTCAACGTTGACGGGATTGTTTCACGTAATTGTATAACTTAACAGCCGATAGAGCTTGATTTCAGCTTTCAATTGAGAATTTGTTCGAGATTTCTAAAACCTCCCCATCGATTTCTATCAATCTGATGACCTCACATTGAACAATTTCAGTGCTCGGTAGAATTCGATAGGAAAGTCGTAGAAATCTCAAACAAATTCTCAATTGAAAGATGAAATCAGGCTCTATCGGCTGTTAAGTTATATAATTAAGCGAAACAATCCCTTTAAGATTTGTCTGGCAACATACCTTAAATGTATACACGTTCATTGGATAACTTACATTATGCTTCTGCCAATGATTATTTGGCTTTTTATTTATTTTACAGATTTTTAATCATAAAAAACAACTTTGGTCATCAAAAGTGTGCACATTTTGTTCATGTTTGGTAGTTGTTTAAATCATGTAAACATAGTCAACACCTTTCTGTTTGTAAATAAAATAGATTTTCTTGGATCACTCTGTGGTGTTAGTCAATTCTTCCCCATTGAAGGTCCATTTTGCTAAGGTTCAGACTGTGTGCTAACTAGACGAACCGTGCATATATTGGGTAAAGTTTGCCAAGGCAGCAACATATGTGATGCCAGTGTATAGAGTTCCTTGGTTCAAATGTCGGAGGATATCGACATTATTGGTTCTTGCATGTGTCGAGAACGAAAACCGAGGAAACGCGTAAATTCTTCGTTCAAGTTGATCGCAAACTCCCAGAAATAGACTAAAAACCTATCACTACTCGTCAGAAATATAAAATATACTCATCACTACCAATTAGAAATATACACAAAAATCATCACTTCGCTTTAGACATATCCACAAAAATCATCACTACCCTTTAGACAATTTCCACAAAACTCATCACTACCTTATACAAATTTCCACAAAACTCATAACTATCCTTCAGAAATGTCCGCAAAACCCATCACTACCCTTCAGAAATGTCCACAAAACGCATCACTACCCTCTAGAAATGTCCACAAAACGCATCACTACCGTATAGAAATGTCCACAAAACGCATCACTACCTCTTAGAAATGTCCACAAAACCCATCACTTACCATTCGAAAACTCCACAAAACTCGGAACTACCATTTATAAATACTAGTATATGATAGTAGTAAGTGTTGTTTATAGTAGTATATAGTAGTAGTAATTGTTGTTTATAGCAGTATATGATAGTAGTAAGTGTTGTTTATAGCAGTATATGGTAGAAGTAAGTGTTGTTTATAGCAGTATATGATAGAAGTAAGTGTTGTTTATAGCAGTATATAGTAGTAGTGAGTGTTGTTTATAGCAGTATATGATAGAAGTAAGTGTTGTTTATAGCAGTATATGATAGTAGTAAGTGTTGTTTATAGCAGTATATGATAGTAGTAATTGTTGTTTATAGCAGTATATGGTAGTAGTAAGTGTTGTTTATAGCAGTATATGATAGAAGTAAGTGTTGTTTATAGCAGTATATAGTATTAGTAAGTGTTGTTTATAGCAGTATATGATAGAAGTAAGTGCTGTTTATAGCAGTATATGATAGAAGTAAGTGTTGTTTATAGCAGTATATGGTAGTAGTAAGTGTTGTTTATAGCAGTATATGATAGAAGTAAGTGTTGTTTATAGCAGTATATAGTAGTAGTGAGTGTTGTTTATAGCAGTATATGATAGAAGTAAGTGTTGTTTATAGCAGTATATGGTAGTAGTAAATGAAATGAAATGAAATGGGGTTTAACGTCCTACTTTTATGCACTTATTCAATTGGCTAATGAAGACGGGCAACGCCATGCAGGGTGCAATGAGGGAAATTTTGCCAGGACAGCCGACGATAACTCGCCTACTCTTCATCGATTCCCAACTGTCTGGGATCTTTAACGTGCGCCCTGATTCAGCACACGGGACCTCGGTTTTTCGTCCCATCCGAACGACTAGGTGCTATTCCTTGCCAGCCCCTCGGTTCTGCGCCACTGACAAGGGGAAGCCGGATTGGAAAATCCCGTTGTTCTTTTCCCGACCGGGAATCGAACCCACGACCTCCTGGTTAGCGAGCAAGCACCGTACTCACTGAGCCATCGCGGCTCCCTATGGTATTAGTAAGTATTGTTTATAGCCGTATATGGTAGTAGTGAGTGTTGTTTATAGTGTAATGACTAGTGTACAGTGAAAAGAAGGCATTCGTAGATGTTGATTCCGGTTGTTGAACGGGTTTGTCTGGCTACATTCCTGAGATGTCTCAATTGATTGACCTTGTATTTTCGGATTCAGTAGGGTCTGCTAAGCTAAACCCATTCGTTTACGCAAATTTGCCACGTTTCTTGTAGCGATATTTTGAATAACAGGATGGACCGCTAGTGGGATTTATCTTGTGAATGAACATATTAGATGTATTTATACTGACACTATTTCTGCTTTAGAACTCAGGTTTAACATATTTATTTTTGAGAACACTTGATATAATACACTGATCCCATCTAATACCCCATCCAGTATCAATTAACATTAAACGTCTCGTATTTTCCACCACAACATACAAAAACCTATTTAGATACAATATAATCAGGATTAGTCAAGTTCTGTGAGGATTTGATGACGTAACTGTTGATATAAAACAACACCACTTTCTCCACTATCGGGCATTTCAAGGCATTGTTCATTCATCAAAAATATACATAGCTCTAAAACAGTCGCATCACATGTTATATTCCCTTTAAGTCGGCATTGTTGAAAACAAATATTCATTTCGTTTTCTGGAACAGCTTGTATGAAATCATCCGCCCCCACAGTCTGAGGAAGAGAGAACAATATAACTGGTCTACCATGAGGTGAATTACTGTGTTTTGTGCGTCTGATCAGATGATGATTCCAGAGTTTAACTATTCCATCTAATTCCCCCTGAAAGAGAGATTACATTAGTATAAAATAACTACAAATTGAAAACAATAAACAGGGCCATGTTCAAAGGGCGGCTACAGGATTTTGTTTGGGGGTGGGAAAGGGGGGATGGGGCAAGGGGATTATCCTACCCCTGCTGCTGGAGGCTAGGATTTTTTCTCGAAAATTTGATCTTGAAATGGTGCATTCTGAAGAATATCTTAAATAAATATGTAGCGGTTGTTTCGGTAATGAATATAAGCGGTTACATTTCAGCTATGTGTTCACCTCAAAATTATAAACCTCATTTTTCCCAGGATGGGGGGGGGGGGACCACATGCAACGATCAGCGAATATGTTAATATTAGCTGATCATGGGACACCAGATATTCACTTTTTTATTGTCATCGCCCGGCGAGAATATGTGTGCCTAGCATGGCTCTGCCTTTACACTGCCCAATCACTTCTGTGTGTACTGAAATATTGGAAAACACCATTTGTTTCAGAGGAATTCGAACGATGGATCACCGATATTCAAAGGGGTTTGTTTCTGCTACACCATGAATTTGCCAAATTGGGGGAGGGGTTGGGGTTGTATGGAGATAAAGACAGTCCCATCAAAACACATGACTTACATGTATGATATTCATGAAGCAGAATTGGATAAGAGCCTTGTCCAAAAAGTCACCATTAAAACATCCCAAATTTTTTAGATTTACAAACAGATCCATCCAATACTGTATATTCTGTTTCCTTAAAAATCCCCACCATAGTTCAAGTCTTTGATTGTGGGTGCTAGGGCCTGTTAAGAAACAACTATTAGCATACTGATCTTGCCCGTTTCGTCTCAGGAATAGTTGCATCTGTTGAATATGATTATTTTCGGTACCTTTGTCAGTCCGTACTCTGCTAGGACAACCATTGTTTCGTTTAATGCACTCCATAAAGTATCCTGCTACAAGTTTAGGGTCACTATTGGTGATATGAGCTTCAAGCCAAAGAACATATCTTGAGAAGCCATCAATCGCCCCATTAATACATATGCCACATGGTTTTAATTTGTCATATCCATCTACGTGCCATAGAAAGTTAGGTCCTAAATTCGTGTACACTCTTCTGGTTAACCGCCTCCGTTTACGTTGTTCAACTGCATCGTGTGCAATAATTGATAGTAATATCCTGACAGTCTCCCTTGTCACAACATAACCCTCTTGCAAACATTTCAAATGCATGATTTTATAACCATGCAAACCGCCAGACTTATTACACTCATCAACGAGAAAAAGTGCAATTTCCATTACCGAAGAGTAGTTCACACGTCGAAACAATCCAAGCCTTTTCAAGCACCGTTTGAGTGTACGCATACATATCACTACACCATTCGTCTTTGCAAGACTATTGAGAATGTCTTTATAACCTAGTCCTTAGCAAAAATAGACTCTTATAAGTTCATCCATGATTATAGCACCAAGCGCGAAGAGATTCACTTAAATACTACCGTTTTACTTAATTAGGAGATAAAAAGTCCTAATTAGGAGATAAAAAGTCCTAATTAGGAGATAAAAAGTCACAATTACGCTAAAAAAAAATCGTGGCACCAGGAGGCTTCCGTAGAAATCTATTGAAATTTACTGAAAACTAAAATTAAAATACAAAATAAAATATGGTCAATGATGGAGGTAGACTGATTGCGTCTTTTAAAACATTCAAAACATAATAGGCATCAACAAAATTTTTGAGAAAAAAAATCGGACCAGGCTCCGGGTTACCTATTTAGGGTGTTTTCAGGTATTTAGGATGTTTTCCGGTATTTAGTTTTTTCCGGTGTTTTCCGGAATTCAGTATAAAATGGTGTTTTCCGGTTGTTTTCCGGTGTTTTCCGGTTGTTTTCCGGTATATAGTATGGCCCTCAAAATACTAGTCTTATCACAGAAATTCAGATATTATTTAACCGGTGTAATCACTTAAGATTATATTTATATTTAAGCTGTGGTTGCTGCTCATTGTCCAGAAGGCAAACAAATGGGTAATGCCGCGAAAGGCGTTACGGTTATAGCTGAATACTTGGATTCGATGAACATGTAACAATAACAAACTACCCACAAGATTATCTACAAGAACAACAACTTATTTCAGACAATAAACTATTCAAATACTCAGTGTAGTTATGATAAATAAATAAATAAATATATACATACTAAATACAGACAATAATAGTAAAACACCATGCCGATATGAGTGCTGGGAGAGGGGGGTGGGTGGGATAATTGGTGGTGGGTTAATTGACCGCATGTACTCCTTTCTCCTGGTTATTGGACCCAAATAACTATTCGATTAAAAACAAAGAGGCCTGATTTTTACATAGAAGTGAGACTTCTAGAACGTAGACTTTCAGAAGATCTCTAGATGGTCCACAGTCTGGATATTGCATACTTTTGTTATAATATTTGTGTAACAGGGAGCGGCTATTTGACGGAAAGTTTCGGTCCGAATTTCCTCAACCATAATTATGGTGTAACGGTGACATATTTGAAAAGTTTTGAAAATAATTGTAAACTGTAGAGGGTTAAACGTGATATTTCGTACAATCAGGGGGTCATAATCCAGAAAGTTACGGACCAATATCGAAAGGAACCCAGATCTTTAAGATATAAATATATATTTTAAGTTTCATGAAAATTGGATAAAATATTTCCACTGCTGGATGACCTGGCGCCTGGTACGTTCGGGCATTTTTATGCGCGAACTCTTAGTTTTTTTTTACTGGCATGCGCACAGGTACTATTTCTTTTTCTTTTAACAAGTACCCAAATCGGGGATTTCGTGCGGAGGTAGTTCGGAGGTAAACAGTCTGTGAAGTACAACACTTGCCACTGTACCTGTGTATCGCTAATTATAAACCGAATGTGTGAAGACAGTTCATACATATCACTCAAAAATTTTTCAGTACAAACTCAGTTGATTCACGCTCGATTTGCTACTAAACAAACCCATCGGTTTATTTTCTCAACAGTGTGACCCGAAGTGACCGCGGATTTATTGACCTTGTATGAACTTATCCATAGCTATATCCTTACACCGAGAGAAATTATCTAGTCTCGGTGAAAAGAACCATGGTCATCTGGTAGAAAATTACTTTTGTATTTTTTGGAACGGAAAACAGTGTTTTTAGAAGCAAACTAACCTGCCGCACATGAGGAAGTCATTATACTAATAATAAAAGGCGAGACCTCTTTTTGCGGCGCAGGCTTATCACTGAGTAGTAAACCGTCCACAAACAATAATATAGGAAGCCTAGTGACGAGTGTAGTAAGTAGGCTATAGACTATAGGTTTGAGTCGAGATTACTCGCTTTCAGTTTACTCTGTTTTTGCGATAACCAATTATGTGAGAAATACCATACTGACATTCGGTTTTTAAAAATTGTACGCGAACTAAATGCGTTTGTTAGATACTGACAGAGCAGCCCCGAGTCGAACAATCGCCGCCCGAGCTGTCTTCGTCAGCTAGTTTCACAATATCGTGCAATAGGTGTATTAATGTGATTTTTAGGTTTAACCCCGCAAACAATGCCAAAATAGTGTTTTCACTGCTTACAGAAAACTGAAATTTAAAAAAAAAATTTTTTATGAGGGTGACCCTCCCACACACTCCCTATCGAGCTGCCGCTCGGTCTGCGCAGCCTCATGCCTGGCACATACTGTCAACATTGTATATTTTTCCGTTTCCGCCCTCCCCCCCCCCCCACAATATATATATCACGGCTACGTTGCGACGGTACCAGCATACCCAGTTGTTGACACCCATTACATCACTCCTGTCTAACAAATCATAAAGCTGTGGTGGCATAGTATTTCACCGTAACACCACAGCCACTCTAACCATTCATAATACATCTAACTATCCCTTTACAGCACTTCACTCCCTACACATTTCCCCTCGTCCTACTTTCCCAAACGTCAACAACACATCTCATACATCCAGTTCGCTAATTAACCCTTGTACCACGTCTACTGGATGGTCCACAAAATGGTAGGGTGACCCACCATAAATAAATATCTCCATATATCTCGACAATTACGCGACAATATTTATATATATGCCAAGCCTCAAATCAGTTTCACACAATTATAGTCACTAAATAAACGATCATGTTGTACTTAATAAGCTATGACCATTAATCATAATAGACTGAAAACTGGTTCCAAGAGTCGTCCATAACATCCAGATAGGTTACGTGCCCTTGTTTTGAAATTAGTCTCGCTTAACCAGTCTATCGACCATTCTACGTCTGATTGACAGGTCGGGATAATCAAGACTACTTTTTTACGAAACATAACAGAAAGCTAGAACAAGAAATTGAATTTAGAAATAAGCACGTTAGGTAGCTCAACAATCGTTTTAAGAAGCTTGTAAAAGTAAAATGAAACTACTGCTAGTATCATGTTCCTGTCTAACCCGAGTGATTCAGAGATATTATTTGTACTAAACCAAAAGATGCCGCTCTTAACGGTACAGTTAACGATAAAGCGATTTAAAAAATGAAACGAACGTAATTTCTAAATCTGCTGTAATAACCAAGAAGCTTAATTTTACTGCTATTCAAAATCGTCAACAATAAATTTTTTACGGCTGTAATAGTTGATAGATTTGTAGAGAATTGCACGTGCCATGGCTATTTATAGTATCATACTGTCAGAAAGTTGGTCTCGGCACGGCGAATGTGCACGCTTCAGTGGTAGTCTCGAACTATCAGCGGTGGACTGTATTTCTGTGAGTACATGGGTCACCCTAAAAATGGATTGAATGAATGAAATGTTATTTAATGGCACGTCAGCTCCAACTGGGCTATATTGCGCCAAACATATGGTGACGTTTCTCGAGACAAACTAGAAACATATAATCACAATAATATCTATATATACATAAATAAAAACAAATATCACAGTAAATATCACATAAAAATAAATAAAAACTTTATGTATATATATTTAAAACATGAAAGGGAAAATCAGATATATACCATTAAAATTTTCAATAAAAATTTGTCTCTTTTACAAAAATCTAGCGCTTTAAAATATAGACCCGGTTGGGGAAATAACTGATGAAGTGATTTGCAACGGTAATGCCGTAATCTTGTATCTTTGAGATGCTTGCACTCAATCAAAATGTGTTTAACTGTCAAAGGATCATGACAGTGTTCACATTCTGGTTGAGGCTCTCGTTTTAAGATGAAAATATGTGTTAAAAAGGTATGACCTATGCGAGAGCGACACAAGACAACTCCATCTCCCCTGCTCGTACGATAGGAGCTTTACCAGTCTCCTAAGAGAGGCTTAATGGGATGAAGTTTATTTGTGTCTGCAAGATCCCAAGACCGTTGCCAGCGGTCAAATATAAATTTATGTATGGATCATTTAAAATCGGTAAATGGTGTTAAAAATTCGGATATTGGAAGATCTAAAGCAGACTTGGCAGCCAAATCTGCTTGATCATTCCCTTTGATATCCATATGACTGGGGAGCCAGCAAAGGACAGTGTCCTTGTTGGTAAACTCGTTTGATAGTATCAGACCATAAATGGATGGCTGACCGCCTGGGAATACCGGGTGCTGTAGACGCGCAGATTTTTTTACGGGGAAGGGGAGAGAAAACACATTTACTGGTCACTCTGCGAAAGATAACTGCGGGATTTTTTCACCTTTCGTCGTCTACGGCCATACCACGTTGAAAACACCAGTTCTCGTCCGATCACTGAAGTTAAGCAACGTCGGGCCCGGTCAGTACTTGGATGGGTGACCGCCTGGGAACACCGGGTGCTGTAGATGCGCAGAATTTTTTTTACGGGGACGGGGAGAGTAAAGCAATTTACTGGTCACTCTGTGAAAGATAACTGCGGGATTTTTTCACCTTTCGTCGTCTACGGCCATATCACGTTGAAAACACCAGTTCTCGTCCGATCACTGAAGTTAAGCAAGGTCGGGCCCGGTCAGTGCTTGGATGGGTGACCGCCTGGGAACACCTGGTGCTGTAGACGCGAAAATTCTTTTGACGGGGGACGGGAGAGAAAACCCATCTACTGCTCACTCTGCGAAAGATAACTGCGGGATTTTTTCACCTTTCGTCGTCTACGGCCATACCACGTTGAAAACACCAGTTCTCGTCCGATCACTGAAGTTACACACTGGACCCTTTGTTCTGACTCGGGTGTTCAAGTTACTGATTAACCTGTAATGGGTTGTTTTAGCACGTGCACAGGTGATCATTTGAGGAAAAGTGGGTGTTCATATGGATGAGCACCCCAACATACTAACCCGGTGATTGTCAAAACAGACCATGCATTTTAAGGTGTGAACTGTATTAATAGCAAGAAACATCGTGTTAATTAAAAAAGATACATACATAATAAATACATATAGTTAAAACAATAAATAAATGTTGTTTCAATGATTTATAGTTTGTGAAATAGTAACATTAACTAGAAAACTCATCCAATAGTATAATGAACAAATACACAAAACCTAGCGAACTGGGATAAATTTCTGTTTGGCCATTTTTTTTTAGATAGTTTTAATCGTTCCCTTTCGATGTCTATTCTAATTAAAATAAATATTACATTATCCATTGGCATGTTGTGGATTTTAAAAATAGATTGGCAGGCAACGAAACATACGCCCACAGAGAGAGGTAGAAATGGGGTTTGGCGTCAACTCGACTCAAACTGGTTCATCTCGGGACTATCATGGTTCCATTTTATTTCAATAATTCGCTTTGTTTTTAGCGGGGGGCGGAGGACCCGGAGAAAACGCACGAGGTTCGACGGGTGAACCTACCCATTGTCACGTACAACCGGGGAATCGAAACCACGCCAGTTGACTCAACGACAGACGTTATGATGCAACGCGCATGCACTAACAATTCGGCCAACCAATCTCCCCCACATACGCCCACAGTAGGTAAGTCGCCCGGGCAGTCAGACTTGTTTGCCTTCCAGTTCTGCCTTATACTAGCATTTAGTATACAAAATGTTTATCGGAAATCATTGAAAATCAATAGGATTATTCTCCTAGTGACCTTAATCGTTTAGCGTTCCAGAGTGTGGACAACAGACGGGTGGACTGACAGACGGGGGCGACGACAATATATGACATGTCGGCGTA